ATCAGAGTGAATCTGATTATTGCCTTTTGTCCAAGCTGCAAAATTGCAATGTTAAATTTATTCCACAAATAATCCTAAGTACTAAAAGCATGAATTAGCTTAATACTATTCACTTTGCGATGCCTGGTTGGCCTAACGGTTTAAGATGCTGACCGTGTCCAGGGACGTTTGTGTCACGTCATCACCCATCTCATTTCCTGTCAGCTCTCTACAAGAATGCCCTTCCAAAATCCTTAACAAATACGTGGAAAACAACCAATTTTATTTCACTATGACTTCACTTAAATCACATGTACTAAGTTTTACAAACTTACTTAACTGGAATTGCTTTTTAGTTTATAGCCTGTAGATTCATACATTGCAAAACAGAATCACAATCTTCATCATTAGCAATTTCCCTTACAAAAACTTGGTAGCTGTCTGGATAACATCACTCACCTCCTCACACGTAAAGTGCATCATTTTCATCAAATCTAATGTCTGTTTTACAGGTTGCGAAATCAACCTCACAGGTTTGAATGCTTGTCATTAAAATTATTTAACCATGCAGCTTTGGAACTGTTCTCGTGTCTCAACACGTTGTCAGTTGTCACTGTTTTAGGATCATGAAAATCACATACAATGACTTAACATACTTTATGCTTACTTTATACTTTAAAGGAGTGAAATTCATTCATGGCAAACCCTTCTACCAGAGGCATCCTTTAAATTTAATGATAAGAAGGAACTTGCCCACTTCGTAAATGAGACTTTGTAGCTTGGTCAGAAAGTAATAACCAGTGAATGTTGACGGGAACAACATGGGGACACACCGGACAGTGTTAAACCATCATAGCCAATTGTACAACACAGGTGACCAAAGTTACACTAAAATCCTCTAAGCTGACCAAGATAAAGGGCTACCGATGCGTCATCCATGATACACAACATCAGATCATCCCGTCATATGGGAACATACATAGCTTCCAACACACATTAAGACTACAACTTGCTCCTATTTTATATACACGGACCACTGTCTACACCTATCAAAGTGCTTTCATCCCTTTGTTCTTCTATTCCCAAAGAAAGATTCACATTGTCGTTTTCACATATGATCCACACAGATGTCATGTCTGATGTTTTACTTTTAGGCAACTCATGGGAATGATTTGGAGGGAAGAGTACAATATTAAAATGCTTATATGGTGTTTTTAGTTTTAGTCTAGTCTTTTTTGTTTGACTATTTGATCACTTGCTCTTTGATTATCATAACTGTCTCTAACTACCAAGACTGTTTTGCTCCCAAAAGCACAGATGTACAGTACACAGTTGACAATGTTTTACCAATATACAATAAAGCAACTTTTATATCACGTCAGTGCTTCAATAATGACCAAGACTGTGTTCAAAGAGCACAAGACTTTGGGGTTTTAAGGGGAGCTGTACATAATTAACATGATTTTTAGTATTCCAGACACAATAGTATAGAGTGGCCATCAAAGCTTATTAAATGACAGCAGGATGTAACTCCACAGAAGCTTCTCTAATGATGTAAGGTTTCTCACTCAGCCTTTGATGAGTCTCAGAGCCAGACTATCAGTGTTCCAGAGGCTAAGCAGCACTCTCTACAGGATGGATGCAGTAGTAACACTTCACACATCTGACAAGTACGACAACACCCTACAAACACGTCACTAATCCTTCATAGTTTCAGCGATGACCCTCCCAGCCTTTAATGCACAATGCATAGACAGTGAGTAGATAGATCTCCATTAAGATGGCTGCTTCTACTCATATACTGGTGTGACACATAAGAATGCTTATGGTCTGTAAATCAAAGTAATTTCACAGTGTTTTAATAGAATCTAAAATGCCAAAACTGAATTTAGATGATTCCCTAGAATAATACAAAAAATGTTCCCTACAATTTTAGGTGTTGTTATCGCTTAAAATGTGGTTCTCTATTTTACAACTAGAGATTTTTCATTATAAAGACAACTTCTGCCTTGCTGAAATACTGCTGCATTCATGGCATTTTGGAGCTGGGCAGTTCATGCTGTCGAGTTTAGTAAAACACGTTTTTAATAAATAAACCTTTTGTAATAACTTCCAGTGATATCCTATACAAAACAAAGAACAAGAAAATGCAGAACAAAAATGTTTTAAAAAAAAGCAATTAAAAAGCAATTTACTTCCATCTATTTACACTACAGATGTTAAGTAAACTATATGCCAGAGACACTAGATAACTTGAAACTCTGAACATCTTGATAATTTTCTACTATAGTACTACAGTAGTCACCTAAAGTGGCTTGGTAATAGCTCTTAGTATGTTGAATCTACTAGTCTCTATTAAGTACATTAGTAAATCAATAAAAAGTTGCAAAGAAAATGCCAACTTCAGACGTGCCATGAATGTAACATTATTCCCTTTACAGTTCTTCCTGCAAGTGAACTCACTCCTCTCTTAACTACCGGTTAACTTCTATGGCTCTTCTCTGTCTCTGTCCATCTCTCTGTGTGTACATCGCGTTCCCAACTAAGATCACTGTATTGCTGTCAAAGAGTTG